CTCCTGTGCCCCTTGCCTTTGTGAGGGAAGCTGGCCTCTTGTTCCCTGGGGTGCTTCTGCATTGTACTGCTGGAGCAGCTGCTGCTGTGACCTCCTGACTGAGGATTGAGATCAGACTCTAAGCACACCATCTGCTCTCCCCCCACCCTGATCTGGTGAGCAAAGAGGATGGAGACTCCTGGAAGAGGTCATATGTGCCAGAGGCAAGACACTGCACAGTGCATCCCAGCACAGGGGGTCCCCCTCCCCACACCTACCCCTGGGATGTCCACCTGGCAGGAGGGAGAGAATTCCCAGGGCCACTGGAGCTGTATCCATATACTCTCCTCACCCCTTAGTACTGCTCACCTAGTATCAGTTTTGAGACCCATCATTTGCTTAAACCACTCTTTGTTTAGTCTTTACCACATAAGCAATACACATCCATGATAAGAAAATTAGCAATACAGAGGAGCAAAAAAATAGAAATTAAAAAAATCTTTAATTCCGTCATCTAAAAAAATATTCTTAGAAGATTTTGGTACATTAACTGATTGTTGTACATTTTAGTGTATAGCTTTTAAGAATGTTCCCTTTGCATTTTTTTTTTTTACATAAATGGGGTCATACTATTGATACTGTTTTAGAAGTTATTTTTCATTTAATTGTACATTATAAACATGTTTTCTTATTTATAAATATATGAGATCCTAATCAAATGTATACATAAGTTAGTAATATTTTAATTGAGATATGACATAATGTTATAGTAGCCTGCTGCATTCGTACACTCTCCTCACATCTTATCTTTTTAGCAGCTTTTGAGACTCATTCTTTGCTATCCAAGCAGCCCCAACTCCCATTTCATTTCCTTGAACCACTGTTTCTTTACTTTTTATCATGCAAGCAATGCACGTTTATGATAGAAAAATTAGAACTGCAGAGGAGCCAAATATTTTGGTATATATCCTTTCAGGTGTTTTTTCCCATGTGCATTTTTTATGTAAATACTAGAAGCCCAATGCATGAAATTTGTGTAGGAGGGTGGTCCCTCAGCCCAACCTGTGCCCTCTTGCAGTTTAGGACCCCTTGGGGGATGTCCAACTGCCGGTTTAGGCCTGATCGGACATCCCTCTCACAATCTGGGACCCCTCGCTCCTAACTGCCCACCTGCTTGCTCTTTACCGCTTGGCTCGCCACTCCTTACTGCTGCCGTGGAGGTAGGAGAGGCTCCAGCCACCACTGTTGTGCTCGCCAGCCATGAGCCCAGCTTCTGGCTGAGCAGCACTCCAGCTGTAGGAGCGCACTGACCACCAGGGGGCAGCTCCTGTGTTGAGTGTCTGTCCGTGGTGGTCAGTGTGCATCATAGCGACTGGTCATAATGGTCACTGGGTTTTTATTATATAGACTAGGGGCCCAGTGCACGAATTCATGCACCTTGAAAGGAACTGTGGGTCACGAGGCTACAGTGGGCACAGGAGTAGGTCTTGGCCCATCCTCTGCACCCCCGCCCAGCCCCTCCTGACACGGCCTCCAATCCCATCTCTACGGGCAGCCCTGCTCCCACTGCCACCACTCCCACACACTGATGGTACCAGCCCTGCTCATACCAGCCCTGCTCATACCCGCTGACAGCGCAGTGCAAGTGGGGCCAGCGCCATCAGTGGGTGCAAGGAATGGTTCTGGCACCAGCAGCGGTTGCCAGTGGGGCCATCACCGGCAGCGGGTGTGAGAGGCAGCTCTGGTGCTGGCAGTGGGTGCGAGTGGGCCCTCGCTGGCAGCTGGTGCAAGTGGGCCCTCACTGGCAGTGGGTGTGAGAGGCAGCTACTGGCCCTGATCACCCCTCAGGAGCAGGGGAAGGTGGAGAAGTCCTGAGGGGCGATTGGGGCCAGCAGCTGCCACTCACACGTGCTGATGGTGCTGAGCGATTGGGACCGGCACCAGGCACCAGCACCAGGTGCGAGTGGCAGCTCTGGTGCTGACTGTGGGCGTGAGCGAGCGGAGCTGGCGCCAGCAGCAGGTGCAAGTGCTGGGCAGGACTGCAATGCACAGGAGCAAAGAATTTTCAGTAACCACCAGAGGTTCACCCTGATGACAGCAACGGGCGCTCCCCCTTGGTCTGGCGCCCCCACTTACCTGCTTCACCATCCCTCTGCAGCAGACACCCACCATGTTCTGTACATGCCCTCTGGTGGTCAGCGCACGTCATAGCGACTAGTTGTTCAGTTGTTCCACTGTTCGGTCTATTTGCATATTAGCCTTTTATTACATAGGACATTTTTAAGTCAATGGCACCATCCTACACATCTTGTTTTAAAAGCTGCCTTTCACATAATGATATATGAAAACCATACACACAAAGGCTTGTTAAATATCATATATACCAATATCATTTGTAATGGCTGCATAGTGTATGCTTGAGTGATGGATCATTATATATTTTTAAATGACTTGGGAATTTAGATTATTGCCAAATATTCACCATCACACTAAATGCTGGGATGACGCCCTCTTGTATATTTGGTTCACTTATGTAGTTGTCTCCTTAGGAGATATGGCAGTGAGGGGAACTGCTGGATCAACAGGCTTGCTCTTTCTAAGGTTTTCAAAACATATGGAAATTTGTACTCCAAAAAGATGCCCCTATTGATCTGCCCACACACAGTGTGTGAGAGCTGCCCAGGAAACACCCTCTTGAGTGGTCAGCTCCCCATTCTCCAAAGCTGCTCCTGTCTGCAGAGGATTTTCCCAGCTGCTTCTTAATGGGGTTGCTGCTCTGCTTTGCTCTCTAAGAGGGGAGGGGATGGTGAGTCTGAATGGAGACCTTTGGCCTGGGAGTCCCCAATGGCGCCTCTGCTTCTGTCATTCTGTATGTGTGTGAGTCCCTCCTTATTTGGGAAGTGTTTTATTTGGTTCTAATTAGGCAGAAAACTTCTAGACAATGTGGCCAACAGGTTTGCCAGGAGAAGATTGATGAGTTTCTGAAGGAACCTAAAGACTGAGTAGTAGGAGTTCCCAAGCTGAGGCCCATAGGGAGTGGGGGACTCACTCAAGGTCTCAGTCAGTCAGCAGCACCAGGAGACCAAGGAACCAAGATCTCAGGAGGCGATTCTGTGCACCCTGCCCAGTGGGGTCACTTCATGGGTTGCTGGGATGGGACAGTTTGGCATGTGAGAATCACCTATGGTATGTGCTCTGCTCAGTAGAACTGTGACGTGGCTGCCTTGGTGCAGGGGCTGAGCATGCAGGGTGCCCATGCATGATGATGAGGTGCTGTTCCTGGCACACAGCAGGCTCAGGCCTCCTGGGCTGCTCATTTGGTGCAGTTTATGGGAAAGCCAGCTCTTGCTGACATGGCAAATTTGGTTTGCTCTTGGCCCCCTGCCCTACCCATTTTAGTGTACCCCTGACCTCCATGGAAACATGTCCAGGCCTTGCCAGCTGGCAGCAGGGCCCAGCTGCTCAGGCCTGGCCCTGGAGGGGCCCAGAGGGTGTCAGACCCCTAAGAGGAAGACTGCTCTGCCTCAGGACTGTGTTGGCAAGGCCAAGGCCCCTGCTTCTCATCATGCCCACTTGCCTGAGCCTTCAACTCCTCACTTGAGACCCAAGAAGCCAGCTGTGACAGGTCAGGGTTGTGACTAGATCCATGATGTGGACCTTCCATCTCCCTGCAACACCAGGCCAGTCCCAGCCTGGAGAACTGGTTTCCTCACCCCAGGCCCTCAGGCGACAAACAGCCTTCATGGGCCACCACAGCCCTTTACTGGCCACAGGAGGGCAACAACTGGCTGAAGTATAAAGAGGAGACAAGAAGTGAGAGCAGGGTTAGAAGACAGAGAGAGGAAGAGAAAGCAGAGCATAGGACATTTTCTGCTTCCCAGACACAGCAGCAAGCCCTTACTAGAACTCCACCCTTCCCGGGTCACCAAGGGCCATTAGGAGTTGGCAATGGGGCCCAGGACTTTCCTCACTGGAGATGGAGCCAACTCCTGAACCACACAGGGCTGCACTCCCCCAGGCCATGCTTGTGCTGATTGAGGACCACCCACAGTCCCCTCTCCCAGGGGGGGCAGGTTGAGAGTTACTGCTCCTGTTCAACACCCTTTGATCTTGGCTGTGCCAGGTGGTGCCCGCCACTTGCAAGACATTAATGCATTCTGTCCTCACAGCAACCAGGAAGGGTATACTTTTAAAAAATTTATAATCTTTTTAAAAATATATATTTTTATTGATTTCTGAGAGGAAGGGAGAGGAAGAGATAGAAACATCAACGGTGATAGAGAATCATTGATTGGCTGCCTTCAGCATGACCCCCACTGGGGTTGGAGTCTGCAACCTGGGCATGTGCCCTGACCAGGAATCAAACTGTGACCTCCTGGTTCATAGGTTCACAACCACTGATCCACACTGGCTGGGAAAGGGTAGACTTTTTAAACTCCCATTTCACAAAGAAGAACACTGAGGCAGACCCAAGAGATTAGCTGACCTAGCCAAGGTCTGTCAGGCAGCTAGTAAGTACTGAGACATGGTCCAACTTCAAAACTGCTGCTGTCCACAGCCCCCACCCTTCCCCTAGTCCCTCCTTCTCAGTCCACCAGTGTCGGCCTCCAGAGAGCCTGCCCTCTGTATGGCACTGTGAAGGTTCCCTCGCTGCCACTCTCTCCCCACACATTCTGGGGCCTGGATTCTGGCCATTAGAGCTTTCTAGGAGGGCTGGTAGTGTTCCCTCATCAGCCATTGCTCAAACAGACAGCTCCTGGTTGTCTGTGCCTTGTTCCCCAGGTGAGTGACCCTGGGCAGACATGTGGGTGTTCCACCTGGTGGTGGCAGATCCAGGAAGTGTTCACACTTGGGGACTGTGGATGCTCCTCAATGTACCTGCCACCCAGGACTCCATGAGTGTTTGCTTCCCAATGCCCAAAAGACAGTCTGGGTGGTCTTGGTGTGCCAGGAGCCACACGGTGACCTGCAAGCCATTATAAATGTATGAAGTGACAGCCATGTGCTTGCCTTTGCCCCAGGAGCCCTATTGAATCAACTGAGAAGTGACTGTCAGAGCAGACACCATGAGCATCTCAGCTCTCGGAAGCAGCACCAAAGGTGAGGTCCAAGCTCCCTCTTGTTCCAGTCCTGGGCATGGTATGTAGCTGCTTTTTCCCAGGCTGGCCCTGCCAGGGCCAGGAGCGCTGTCTGGGTAGCAGAGAGAGACATGTTGGGAGGACTGGAAAGGAAGCCCGGGGTCCTGGGGCTGGGCTCCCCTTCTGAAGCTGTGTAACCTTGCCCATGCCAGGGAAGCCTCTCTCAGCAGGCGAGGAGGAACGCAGTAACGTCCTCAGGCAGATGAAGGTGCGGACCACTCTGAAGGGGGACAAGAGCTGGATCACCAAGCAGGATGAATCAGAGGGCCACACCCTGTAAGTCCAGGAGGTCGGGAGGGCCAACAGCAGCAGGTGGGGCTGGGGTTGTGATCCACAAGTCTTGTCCTGACCTGGAGATGTTGAGGGGCTTCCCCCATTCAGAGCTCAGCCAGGCAATGTGACCATAGGTCAGCTGGGGAGGTTGGAGTGGGGGAAAGCAATGCAGCTGAGGGAAAGATTCAATCAAAGTCACAGGGCAGGAAAGCCCTGGGTGCTGAGGTGTACATGTGCGAGTGCCTGTGGAATATGGAGGCAAACTGCGGGAGAAGGTGAAATGGGAATGGTGGGCCAAGTTCCTGGGGTGCATGTACCGCACCTCCCACAGCTGCCTTGGGGCCCAGCAGTCAGTCTCTAGTAGGGAGGCCATAGGGTGGATGACTGTTCAGGGCCTGGGAGCCACTCTTTTGGGAACTCTCTTTCCCCAGAGAGCTGCCCTCTGGTCGGAGTCGTGCCACATCCTTTTCATCACCTGGGGAGGTCCCGAAGGCCAGGTAAGAAGTGGGACCCAGATGGCTGGTGGGTGGGCCCCATGCTGCAGTACTCAGGAGACAGGGATGGAGCCAGAGCTGAGAAGGGACATTAGGGTCTGCAGCATGACATTTGAAATCCACAAGAAGGATGGGTTATCCCGCTCTGCTCTCCCTTGGGAAAGGGAAAGGAGGAGTCAACTGGGTCCAGTTTCCTGGCCTTGCTGTGTGGCCTTTGGGCCAGCTGCCTCTCCTTCTGGGCCTCCATCGTTCCACCTGTCAACTGTAATCAAAACTTTGTCATTAAGAACCCCCTGCTGGGAGTACGACAATGTCTGTGAGGTGCTTTAAGTAGCACATGACTCCCTCTATAGGTAGTCCTGATTGCTGAGTGCACCTGGTAATTGGCACGCCAGGGGAGACTCACACATTTGCAACAACTGTCTCCCACGTTCAGTCTGACACATTTTGACAGTTGTCCAAGGGGAATAATCCCCTCTCTATTTCAAAGACTTTTGCAAAGAGGTGTCCAGGGAGGCTCTGAAGTGTGAGAACATCTGCTCAGATCTACAGGAACTGCTCCTGACAAGTAAGGGGGTGCGGAGCCAAAAATTCAGGCTTGATCCTTGCTCTAAACAGCCGGCAATTGGCAGTGAGTACATTGCCAGGGCCTTTCTCAAGTGGTCGTAGAGGCAGAGGCAGCAGCTGGAAGGAAGGGGTCCAAATTTACTGCTAGCCCCAGAGGCTGCCTTTGGTAACAGTGGACTTGCCTGTCATCCCTCAATGACTTAGTGCCCGCTACTCACCAGGTCCTATGCTGAGCACAGGGGAGACAGCCCTCTCTCCTCAGGGAACTGACATCCTAGCAGGGACCACAGGTACAACTCAAGTAAAGAGATGAACATACAATGGCGAGGTTGGCAAGGGTCTGCAGACAGTTCAAACATAGTCTATTCATTGGTGGAGCTTGTTTACTTTGGGGGTACAGTTCTCACCAGGGCTTTAGTTTGGGGGTGCATTTGAAAAGCACGTTCTGGGGTACTGTGACCCAGGGCCCAGAGAAAGGGAGCCCAGAAGTCTACATAAACCTGGGCTCTCATTATTTCCCAGAGGGGTCCAGGGCCAGCAAGGGGCCATGGCCTAGCCTCCCCAGCACACAGGTATTTCAGTCATAAATGCTCATTGTGGCTGGAAGGGGTGCAAGTGACCTTTCTTTCGCCGGTCCCACCCGAAGTGATCCTGGAACTTGGTCACCTCCAGGAGGTTGTCCTCGGTCAAGTACAGTGTCTGTTGAGATGGAGAACACTTGGGCTTTGTGCTGCCCTGCCTGCCTGCTTGCACGAAGTCCCCTTAGACCCAACCCTGCTACTCAGTCCCAAGCTCCTCTGTTCATGGACAGAGTCCTTATCTCCTGTCCTCACTGTCAGCCTTTGGCTCCCACCTCCAACCCCCTGAGATCTCTGAGTGCCCTCGGCTGCTCCCAATCAGAAAGTGCCCAGCACATGGAGCCTAATGCTTTCCAGCCACTGACTTAGCCTTCACTATGCCCTCAGGTCCCCAAATTCCATAAATATGTGTGTTGTGGGTGTCCCAGGGGCTGGAGGAGGGGAAGCCCCAGAGGAGGGCAAGGGACGGTCAGCTGGCCTTGGCTGACTCATGCCTGGGCTCTGCCCCTTAGGACCTCATGAACTTTCCTAGAAAAGGCAGGGGGGGGGTGGGGGATATGTGGAGTGGGGAATAGGTCAGGAGCCGTGGCTTCTGCCTGCCATGTTCTCAGCCCCAGCCTCTGGCCATGGAGTGTCCAGCCTGAGCTGGGTCAGCTTCGAAAACAGAGGGTGATTGCCCGGCCGGCATGGCTCAGTGGTTGAGCATCGAGCTATGAACCAGGAGGTCACAGTTCAATTCCCAGTCAGGGCACATGCCCGGGTTGCAGGCTCAATCCCCAGTGGGGGGGGGGTGCAAGAGGCAGCCAATCAGTGATTCTCTCTCATCATTGATGTTTCTATTTCTCTCTCCCTCTCCCTTCCTCTCTGAAATCAATAAAAATATTTTTAAGAAAGAAAGAAAGAAAACAGAGGGTGGGAGGGCTGTTAGCAATCCCAGAAAAGCTCTCACTCAGGAGAGAGCTAGGATCTGGTAAGCCAGGGAGAAGCCAGAATTTGAAGGGAACACCTCTGCAGCAAATGCTCAGCCAGGGACACCTTCCTAGGCACTTACTGTGAGTCAGGACCATGCTGGGCTGGGCTTGGAACAATCAGACACAGGCACTTTTCCTGGGCAGCATGAGAGATACAGACAGAGCAAAGCAGGAACCAGGTTAGGGGTGCATAGTGGCTGGCTTTCTTGGGAAGCTCCTGGCCACTCCTGCTCCTCTTGTTCTGACTGCACTGGGACACCCACCGCCATTGCTGTCCTTGGGGACAGGAAAAATTAGGGCCCTCCAGCAAGGCATCAATTCACTTCATGCCTTCTTTTTCCTTGGCAGATCTGCGAGCACAAGGGCTTCCACTGGCTATATCATCCGGTAGGTGATGGCAGGACCCTGCCTGCCTCCCCAAACCCACCTGCACTGCCCCCTGGCTTCTCCCTGGATGCTTAATGGGCTGCTTCTTCTGGGCTCTCTTTTAGGGGCGTGTTCACCAAGCCCATCGACAGCTCGTCCCAGCCCCAGCAGCACTTTCCTAAGGCCAACGGAGCTCCAAAAAGGTGTGTACATGGGGTGTTGGCCAGCCAGCCAGTGGGGAGTTGTGAGGGCCTGGGCCAGGCTCGTGGCAGAGAGAGTACTTTGCCTGTCACTGATGGGGTGGGAGGTGGCAGCTCTGTCCTTGTGTAGGGTAAGGCCTTGGAGAACAACACGAGTGACCAGAGGAGATGGGTTGGGGGGTGATGCAGTTGCACCTGAGAGACTGGAAGTCCCCAAGGGGATGCATGGCCCCTTTTGGCCCTCTGATCTCTGGGAATCCCTGGGCCACTAATGGTGACCTTGACCTTGAGCCAGTCCTGATTTGCAGGTTGCAGGGAGCTTTGAACGAAGCGAGCTTTATGTTTTCAGCTACCTTCCCAGCAGGCTGAGATGGCACCTTGCTGTCAGGCTGAACTCAGACTCCATCAGAAAGGCAGGGTCAAGGGAACTGGGTTGCTCTTGGCAGGAGGGCTTCCCTGCTTGGGATGCTGCAGAGATTCTAGGTAAATGGCAGGACTGGGAGCACAGAAGAAAGGCCACCAGCATTCTCTCATTCACTTCCCATGTGCCTGCTGGGTTGTGTGGGCAAATCTGAAGGCAAGAGGGTCCTGGGGTAGGCACATGAAAACTCCTTGCTTCTGCAGCATGGCCAGTCTGGTGAGAGCAGCTCCCACTGGGCCTCTCCGCCCCTCTTCCTCTGGCTACAAGATGACCACTGAGGACTACAAGAAGCTGTGAGTATACAATCACAAACCCAGCTCAGTTCCCTCCTCCAAGGGATAAGCCAAGGGATGAGCCCAAACACCGGCCCTCTGAGGGCAGCGGGCTGTTTGCCTCTGAGCACACCGTCTCAGAGTGCTAGTCCTGCTGGCCTGACGTCCCTGCCAGTTGATGCTGTGACCTGGAGCCCACCAGCGGATGACAAGTTCCAGAAAGTTGGATGCCTGTGCACACTGCACTTCTTATTTGAGGCAAAGCAGGATATGTAGGAAGTTTGTAGAAGGGGGTGGTGGGTCTGGGGAAAAGGTAACATGGCCCTAGGACTGCTTCTGGCTGACTTCGTTTCCTGGACATGCCTCTGTACTCTGGGCTGGGCTTTCAGCCTGTGCTGGGCCAGGCAGCGCCAGGCCGGGCTAGGGCCTGATTATCCTAAGCATGCTGCTGGCCATGGCAGTCTATCAGTCATGGGCATTTTGTGCTTAAATCTGAGCTGCTTTTGGATATAAATCTTTGGGGTTCCCTCTACGGTTGCACTTGTGGACTGTACCAAAGGCCCCCCTCCTGTGTGCCCAGGGATGGGGGCTCTGGACTGAATTGTAGCTTGTGCCCATGGTTCCCAATCCCGTCCTCCCCCCCAGTCTTTATATTGTTTGTTCATTGTTATCATAGTCCAGTGACATGGAGCAGCTAGGGTATCTTTCTGGAGAAGGGGTGAGGCTTGAACTGGGTCTTAGAAGACAGTTAGGGTTGGAACAGGGAGAGAGAGGAGGGCTGGCTCTCGAGGAGGAAGAGTGGCATGAGAAAAAGCCCAGAGGCAGTAATGTCAACATGTGTTGGTGTTGTTGGAAGCCAGGAAGCAAAGCTGCTGAGAGTGGCAGCCTATGACAGGGACCAGGGGTGGAGGAAAGATGAGGAGGAGCCATAACTTCTAGCATCCTCAACCCCTCCCACTCCCCATCCCACAGGGCACCCTACAACATCAGGCGCAGCTCAGCCTCGGGGGCTGATGAAGAGGAGGATGTGCCCTTCTCTTCTGATGAGCAGAAACGGAGGTAACAGTACCCGCTGGGCATCCCATGGGCAGGGCTGGGCCCAAGTCTGCACAGACTGGTGAAATAGGAATTGTGCCAGTTAGGGTGATGAAATGCACAACACTTAGGACACCATTGCTGGCCTGTGGGCTGAAGGAGTGGCTGCTAGCAACAGGTGTCATCCCTTGAGTCCCAGAATGACCCAAGTAGCTGGGCCGGTTCAGGGGAACCTCTTATGAACATTCTATGAGGCAGAACCTAGGTAACAAGTGATGGGGGAAAGTCTCATCTGTGGACAGAGGGTGGAAAGAGATGTGCTTCAGGACTTTATATCCGTTTGTTTAAAAAGGGTTCTGAGCAAATTGGACCAAAGTAGGCAGCAAAGGGGACCTTCAGAAGAACCCTCTATGTATGTGCTGTGTGTGCAGAGTCAGGATAGGTCCTGAATGCCTGGGGCACACGGCCAGGCTCCAGAGGTTCCAATGTCCCTCACCCCAAAGTAAGGCTGGGTGTTTGGGCAGTTGCTAGCACCCAAGGAAATAAAGCTCCCCAGGTTCAGTCTGCCTCCCTCCCAATCCCAATGTGTGCCGGCCCCTCTGTGGCTCAGGAAACAGAGCAAAGCCCCTTCTGAGGGCCTGGCAGCTGGGCAATTGTAAGGGCAGAGTTCACAGTGGCAGGAGTCCCTGGCCTGGAAGGTACTGGGGAAAAGCCAGGCCACCTTGCATTTACTGCCCACTCTGCCACCAGCTAAATGTGTGATCTTGGACAAGCCACTGCAACTACCTATACCTCAGTTTCCTCATCTGTAAATCGTGGGTGATACTAGCACCCAACTTCCTGGGGTGTAAGGAATGATCCAATGTGGATTGGCAGCATTCATTGCTTGATAAACAAGGGCTTCCCTTCCCTTGGTCTCTACTTTCCACTGAATGATCCTCAGAGCAGGTGCCAAGCTGGCTTTGACCCCTTGCCTTGCTGTGGTGGCCCAAGCCATCCTGAGTACCTATATACCAGATGCCCCCTTGCTACTGCAGGTCAGAAGCTGCAAGTAGTGTGGTGAGGAAGACAGCTCCCCGGGAGCGCTCCTACGTCCTGTCAGCGGCCAAGAAGAGCACGGGGTGAGTTGCACAGCAAGAGACACAGCTCAACCACCAACCAGCTCCATGCTCTGGAACAGTTTCTGTCCCTTCAGGTCTTTGCTATTCCTCTGCCTAGTGAAGGGTGGGATGAGTGGGCCCTCTTAGCTGGACCTTCTGAGATTCTCAGATGTACTTTCTGGAAAACTGAGGGGTCTGGCTGCTGCCATCAGGACAGACAAGGTGGTAGAAATGGGAGAGAAGCCCAGGACACTCTAGGGCAGAGTGGTCATGATGTCACCTATCTACTCCAGGATTCTGCCCAACACATAACCTTTCTATCTCCTTTCCAGAAGCCCTGTTCAAGAGTTGCAGGCCCCATTCATTGCAAAGAGGTAAGTGTCAGCAAGGGAAGCCTTAGAGGTCTGTTTTTGGCCATGAAAAAGGCCTCCTTTTGGCAACAGTGTAGTGTGGGCACTGGGGAGAGGGTCATGGGATACAGTGAGGCTGCTGGCCTTCAGCAGGGGTTGTTGTAACAGGCTGGTTGCTCCTGTCTGGAGGCAAGGCGAGCACCTGGATGGCTGTGGTGGCACATATGGCCCTGGAATCCAGTTCTGTGTGGTTGGACGCTCCCATTTTCCAGTAGCTAACAGGGCTGGGCCTCTGATCCATAGTATTTCAAGGGCCTCTGGGGTTTTGAAGCATAAGTAGTTATGGGGATACATAGGATTTGTTCCCTGGTCCTCCCATCCTATCAGGGATAGGCTGGACAATGCCCACACAGGAGTCATCACAGGGATGGAGTCCAGAGGCTTGTCATTGGGAATCCTTACCTGGTTGGCCAGGCCTTTGGAAGTGACCATGACATTGGAGATAGACCCTAAAGGGTGAAGAAGGTTTAATAAGGAATGATCAGGACATGCCAGCTGAGTAAGGGAGGGGTGTCTCCATTAGGTGAAAAGGACATCTTCTGGGAGAGGAGAATATTTGGGGAGGCCAAGGAAGAAACTTCTGGAAAGTTGAATTTTAGGGATATTCCATTGAGTAGACATGGAAGACCTTCATAATGAGATGAGGACTAAAAAAACAAGAAGCCAGCACACCAAGTGTTCCAGGTAGAGGCCCAGAGGTGGGAACAGTTTGCTGTGTTGGAAAACCAGAAAGGCTGATGGGAATGCACCCAGCCGAGGGTGGTGTGCTCTTGATGGCTGTATTAGGTTCCTGGGACTGCTGTATCAAAGTACCACAAGCTGTGTGTCATAAACACCAGAAATGTATTGTCTCCCAGTTCTGGAGGCTAGAAGCTCAAGATGAAGTTGTTAGCAGGGTTGGTTCCTTCTGGAGGCTCTGAGGGAGAAACTGTCCCAGGCCTCTTTGCTTCTGGAGCTACAGGCAACCCTTGGTGCATCCTTGGCTTGTGGATGCATCACTCCAGTCTCTGTCTCCAGCTTCACTTGACTTTTGTGTGTCTGTATGCAAATTCACCTCTTCTAATAAGGATACCAACCACTGGATTTAGGGACCACTCTACTCCAGCATGACCTAATCTAACCATGATTACATCTGCAAAGACCCTATTTCCAAATGATGTCACATTCACAGGTTCCAAGCAGACGAATTTTGGAGGGACACTATTCCACATAGTATGCTGTTCTTATCCCAAGGTGGATTCACTGAGCCCCCAGCCTGAGCCACCTTATGGCCATTGACTCCACTGAAAGGAAGCATGTCCTTCAGGTGCAGCTGAGCAGGTGGTGCATCTGTTTCTCTTCTTGCCCAAAGGGTGGAGGTGGTGGAGGAGGACGGGCCTTCTGAGAAGAGGCAGGACCCACCTGCTCTGACAAGATCTCCTCCTGGCTCCAGCAGGTAATCAATCAGTCACCCATCTCTGCCTGGGGCTGGTCGCTGCCAGGCCTGCCTGCCACTCAGTCACTGTGGAACCTCTGCCAGGTCACCTCCTTGCAGAGCCTCAGAGTCAGTGTCCCCACGTGCCCAGTGACAGGATGGGGCACGGAAATCAGTGAGGGCCTATCTGGCTGGATATCCTAGGGCTATCCAGCAAAACAGCCTGGCCTCCAGGAAGAGAGCACTGAACTCTTGTCTGTTTAGTGGTTATCTGTGTCACGGGGTTGGAGCGGGTCCGCCACCGGGGCGCCAACCCTGCCATTCTCAGGTTTGTTCACGGCTCTCCTAAAAGTTGGCCAAGTTCAACCTGCCAACCCTGTCCTCCCGCTCCTGCTGGGGAAGGAGGCTCCACAGTCCCCAGCACCGCTCACAGATGCCTTTTTTGCCAGTGCGGATGGAGGCCGAGCCAAAGTGTCTCGGGCAATTTGGATTGAGCGCATGCCAAGTCTGCCAAGCCCTGCCGGGAGTCTGGAGCCCAGGTGGGTGTTGTGAGCTGGCTCTGGCCTGTAAGCTGGTCAGATGGGAGGATCTGGCAGTGGGGTGACAAGGCAGGAGCAGGCTGAGCATTGGTGATCTCACTCTAGGCAGGGCCCTGATTTGCCCTGATTTCTGAGCCCTGAGTGTCCAAGCAGATAATGGTTCTCTCTTGTCTGCGGATGAAGAACATTCAATACCTTCTTGTACTTTGTGCTAAATCCTGCAAAGTCCTGTCGAGAGCACCCTATTGTTGCTGCTGTTTAAAGCATCTGCCTGGATTGGCAGCTCTGCCCAAATCCAGGTCTTCTACAAGCTGTGCCTCTGTGGCACCCCTGAAAGACCCTGAGGCCAAAGGGGCAGAGCACCTATCCCTACAGGTCACTTTTGGGGACTCCAGGGACTGTTCCAGCTCTCATAATGCCACTGAAAGCCCCACTCCCATCCCCAACTCAAGCCCCTCAACCATTTGGATGTGTCTACAGTCCTCAGGGTCATCTCCTCAGTGCCAGGAGAAAGACAGATCACCTGCCACAGCACTGGTGGTGGAGAGCAATGCTGCAGACCTTTTCTGCTGGGCTGGGTCTAGGAGGGGAGGGGAGGAGGTGGCAGCAGGTGCCTCTCTGCCAGAAAACCTCTTCTCTTCATTCAGTTCCTCTTTTGATCTTCCCTGTTTGTCTGAACTTTTGTCCATAAGAACTTTTGAACAAGTGGAAATATTTGAGAACTCTTCAGAAAGTAGCAATCAATAATAGAACTTAGTGACTGATAGGATATGGGAGCTGTCTTAGGTTGCTAGAGCTGCTGTAACCCAGTCCCACAAACTGGGTGAATCAAACAACTATATTGTCTCCCAATTCCAGAGGTGGGGAGTCTAAGATCCAGGTGTTGGCAGGGTTGGCTCCTTCTGAGAGCTTTCTCCTTGGCATGTATTTATTTATTTATTTGTTTGTTTGTTTGTTTATATTTTTTTTTGTTATTTCTCACCCAAGGATATTTTTCCATTGATTTTGAGAGAGAGAGAGAGAGAGAGAGAGAGAGAGAGAGAGAGAGAGAGAAAAGAGATTGTTGATGTGAGAGAAACACATCCATTGGTTGCCTCCCGCATGCACCCTGACCAGGACCTGGAATCAAGCCTGCAACTGAAGTATGCGCCTTTGACCAGAATTGAACCTGGGACCCTTCAGTCTGTGGACTGGCCGACACTCTATCCACTGAGCCAAACCGGCTAGGGCTGTCCTTGGCTTTTAGATGGCTGTCTTCTCACTGTGTCCTTACATAGTCATCCCTCTGTGCATGTCTGTGTCCTGATCTCCTCTTATTATAAGGACACCAGTCAGGTTGGATTACAGCCCACCTCAATGACCTTATTTTACCTTAATCACCTCTTAAAAAATCTTATCTCCAAATACAGGCACATTCTGAGGTCCTGGGGGTTAGGACTTCAACATACAAATTTAAAAGGGGACACAATTCAGCCCAAAACAGTGCATAGCTCTGATTTTCCTTATTTCTCTCCCTCTCCCTCTCTCTCTCTCTCTCTCTCTCTCTCTCTCTCTCTCTCTCTCTCTCTCTTTTAAGCAATGAATGGTTTTATATGCTTTTAAAAACAGAATATAGGAGGAGAATTTGGTTGTACTATATTATACATTTGAAAGATAGTTTGACATTTTCCTTTAGATGTCTAATATCCATTACTTGGCTGTCATAGCAAGGTAGCTGTCTCAGTCTGCTGGGGCTGCCATAACAAAGTACCCCAGCTGGTGGCTCAAACAACAGAAGTGTATTGTCTCCCAGTTCTGGAGGTGGGCCACCTCAGGTAAAACCTGCCTGTAAAGCCTCAGGAGACAGATTATGGAATGTTCCAGACACCAGAGGTATTTCAAGACAAGTCAGCCTCCTCCTGGAAGGATGGCTGGTCAGGCAAGGCGTGATGGTTCTCACGGTGCTGCTTTCCTCAGATTCTGCAATCACCAAATATCTAGTCCCCACCAGGTAGCGTCCAGGTGAGCTGCTGGCCAGTCCTGGGCAGCTTTCCTCTCTGACCTGACCCAGTCAGGCCCTGAACTGGCCCAGGCAGCCATCATCAGTCCCCCAAGCCTAGTTCCTATCTGCCTGGCTATTCCCTTCAAGAATCCCAGCCCTGTTTGGCCGGTGTGGCTCAGTGGTTGAGCATCGACCCATGAACCAAGAGGTCACCAATTCAATTCCCAGTCAGGGCTTGTGCCCGGGTTGCAGGCTCAATCCCCAGTAGGGGATGTGCAAAAGGCAGCCGATCAATGATTCTCTCTCATCATTGATGTCTCTCTCTCTCTCTCTCTCTCTCTCTCTCTCTCTCTCTCTCTTCCTTTCCCTTCCTCTCTCTGAAATCAATTAAAAAACATTTTAAAAAAGAATTAAAAAGAAAAGAATCCAAGTCCCATGGGGAACAGTGACTCACCATACCCTGGGTCTTGCAGCACCCCAGAAGAAGCTGGTGTATGGCAGAGTGGGACAGAAGAATATCACAGCCTTGTTCCCAGACATGGTCCTATTGAGGCCGCTCCCTTCACGGGCCTAACCCTGTTCTGTCCCCTTTAGCTCAAGTCTGAAGGTCAGCTCCTCATCTTATGCATCAGGCTAACCAGGAGGAGCACCCCTGTCTTAGGTGTCAAACCCTTTACTGACTTGAAGGAAGGCTGAAAGTTTGGGAGGAGAATTGCCACACAAGGATGCCCACAGACTGTGTCCTCAGGACTCTCCAGCTGTCTCTTTCCTTCCATTGGAATTCCAATCTTGCTCCAGACCCCAGACCTGCCTGGATGTCCCAAAGGCCCCTCAGCTCCAGTGTCCACATCCACCTCCCCAACACACACACTGCTCACACATTGAAGGGGCCCTCCCTCCATGCACCCTGGGCCTACTTTCTTGGGTTAATCTAGTTTTTCTTGCTGTAAGATAATTCCTGCCCACCTTATGAATTGAGCTCATTTGGATACCTTCTCCCAGAGACACTGACTGGCCTGAGGGCTGCCAGGCCTGGCTGCTTCCCTGTCTCAGCACACTGTTCAAGCCTCCTTGGCACTTTGCCTCACCCAACCAGGGCAGGGCCTGCAGTCTGTGCCCCAGCATGCTGCCTGGTAGAGTACCTGGGAAGCAGTGAGTAAGAGCACAGCCTCCAGCACAAGGCAAAACCCTGGCATTGCCCCTTACTAGCTGTGTGACCTTGAGGAAGTGACTTTACCTCTCTGTGCCTCAGCTTCTTCATGTGTAAAATAGGGAGCTGTGAAAGCTACCCCCCAAGGGTGTCCCAAATACTAAATAGGATAACGCTTGTAAAGTCCTTTGTGTAGTGCCGGGTTCCTGGTATTCTCAGACGCTGCCCACTAGGGACTAGCTAATTTGCAAGGCCCTTCTTCAAATAACGAAAGGTGCTAATATCTCCACCTACTGGCTGTTGAGGAAAATGCGCTGTGGGCTCTGGAGAAGGAGGTACAGGTATCCCTGGGGTTTTCCAAAGTTCGCCTTCTGCCACTTTGCCTTGCAAAAGAGCCAAAAGACCTACCTTAGTATCTGTTTTGCTAACCAAAAGAAATCTGAAGAGGATTTCGCTTTTAGAGGGAAAAAAGGCAAAAAGCAAAATTAGCATTCAGCTCATTGCCTCTTCTTTTTGTACCATTTCGGCTTCTGAAAGGTTTTACAGGAACACTCTACTTTCAGATAGCTGGTGAAACCTGTACTCCCTCCCCTGCCTCTCTCCCTCTTTTAGCTGATGAGTTGCACACTCTTTGGCACAGGCCACTGTCAGCCGTGTTCCCACGGGCAGCTGGGGCTGCACTGGAAAAGTGTTCCTGGCCTTCAGCAGCTCTTAGCCAGGCTGAGAACTTCAGCTGAGACTAGAGCCATCTGTGGTTGAGGGTCTGGGGAGGTGATGGGGCTTGTCTGCGGCTGCAGGCGAGGAGAGGTTGGAAAGCTCTTGTATGAATTTGCTGCCCTGACAAGGTGTTAGAAAGTGAGTGGATTGAACAACAGATTTATCCTCACAGTTTGGGAGACTAGAAATCCTAATACAAGGTGTGGACAGGCCTGTATGCTCCCTCCAGAGGCTCTGGGGGAGATTTGTTCTAGAATATTCTCTTAGGGTGTTGTCAGTAATCCTTGGTGCTTCCTAGCATGCAGGTGCATCACTCCAAAATCTGCCTCTGCCTTTACATGACTATCTTTCCTTTGTGTTCCTGTGTCTAAATGTCCCCTTTTTAAAAAGACACCAGTCATATTGAGTTAGGACCCACCATAGTGGAGCATCACTTTATCTTAACTACTTACATCTGCAATGACCCATTTCCAAATTGGGTCACAGATACCAAGGGTTAGGACTTCAACACATCTCTTGGGGACACACAATGCAACCCATAACAGCCTCTCTAGAAGGGCTCCCATTCGACCTAGGTCTTTAAGAAGCAATTGCTCAGGGGGATGACGAAGGAGGAAGAAGGTGTTGAGGGAGAGATGCCAGCTTAGGCAGGCTGAGGCAACACTTTCTTCCTATTCTCTCTCTGGCATAACAAGGAACACCAGTGAGAAAATATTTTTGACTTGCCTGTGACATCCCTAAGTGGAGCGTGTCCCTGCTCTCTGGTACCACGTGCCTTAGATGGGGCAAAGTAGGGCAGCGGTCAGGGGCTTTATGCTGTCATCATCATTGCCATGGGAGGAGACAGGCAGAGATCAGAGCTGTCTTCTCCTGGGCCCCTCCTGGTTTTCATGAGGGGAGAGGCCCTGTCCTTGGTGGCTCTGCCGTTTCACTCTGGTTATCTCCATTGTCCCCAGGAAGGACACAGATGAACAACCCACTGACCCTGAGCTGGCCCTCCATGGACTCTCAGTCTAGGTTGGAACCAGATGCCAGGGTCAACACCCAGGGTCACCCAGTTCCCCGCCTTCACCTGACTCCTCCAATCCCTCCTCTTCCTGGGGACCTTGGAGTGGCCTTTCTAAAGTGGCAGTCTGATCATGTCAAGCCCCTCACTCCACTCATTTCCTTTGTTGCACCATATATGACCTCAGAATTTAAGATATTTGCCAGCTTCCACCTCCCTCTTCCCCATCTCCCTCCTGCTGGGCTGGGGGCTTCACCGGGGCAGGCATGAGGCTCACCCCCATCTGTACCCCAGTGCCCAGGGGAAACCAAAGGAAGGAGTGGACCTGAACAGGTGTGATTTGGGGTGAAGGGTACCCCACAAATCCAGAGAATTCTAGGTTATCTCCAGCCCTGGCCATCACTATGGCCCGAGGCTGCTGGGTGTTAGGCCCCCCCAAAATACATTGGACTTGAAGGGATTTGTGCCGTCACCTGGGGACTTGGCTCTGAGCACAGGAACCCTCAAAGGGGACCAGTGAGCACTGAAAATGTCTGATCCTCTGTGGATTCACAGGCCTGGTCACTTCCTTTCATTTCTCAGTCTCCACTATCCCTCTCCCACTAGCTCTCACTTTAAATTTGGTTTGTAGGTTTCCTAGGCATCTTATTAATCTCAGTTCACATTAGCTCATGAACTCAGAATTCCTGCTGGCCTCACAAACAGCCTCTTTGGACACTCTGGTCAGGCCACAGGCAGGGTTCATTGTAGCAGCTACAGATGGGGTGTTGGGGCTGGGTGCTTCTATTTCCACCCAAATGGCGCCTCTCTGGGCTTGAAGGGGGCTGGACTTGAAGGTGGAAGACTGGTAAAGGAGTCCTTCACTTCCCTTCCTCTGGGGCCTGGATATCAGTGGACCAAGCTCAGCTGCAGCACCAAGAAGATTCAAGGCAAAATAGGAGCCAAGGGGTGGGGGGAGGCAATGGGTCTAGGTGTCCAACTGCACTAGCCAGGAGGCTGTTGAGGGAGAACGCCCTTGGATGCCCAGAATAGATGGGGAGACTTTTCTTACCAGCAACTCTATGGCTCTCTCCTTTGGCTACAGTGCAAGAGGTGAGGAAATTGTCCGCCTGCAGATCATGACACCCGGGGCAGGACTCCGCCTGGTGGCCCCAGACCTGGAAGGAATGAGGTACGGGGACCCTGCTGTTGTCTGGGCTCCTTCCACACCATTTTAGAGATGGGGCTAGAAGAACCAGCAGGCAAATGATGAGGTCTGGAGTCTGGTTGGTGGGAGATATGGTCGACCTGGGTTCTCTGCCCCCATCTCATTCTTTTACTCCACAACTATTGGGGAGCAAGCACTTGGTCTGTGGGAGGCCAGGCTCCACTCAGGGGACCCAGCAGAGTCCAGGAAGACCCCCTGGATGAAGGTGCTGACCGTTTGCCTGGTGGGGGAAGCATATGTAGACATGAACCAGCTGTGGTGTCTCAGCCCTGCTGAGCCCTGAACACTAGACAGGCCAGGTGTGCTTGGCGGGGACACGGAGTCTGCGAAGCGCCATGAGGTCACTGGAGCAGTTGCACTGCCTGTGTGAGGGGAGCCACGGGAATGGGGTAGAGTTCCTGGGTCAGCCTTGACAGCCCATGATGCCATCATGTCCAGTGCTGGGGAGGATGAGGGACAGGGGCCACAACTAGCAGAAAGCACAGTAGGCCCAGCCCCTGCCCTGGGTGAGTGGGCAAATGGACAGTTAACAGACAGGCAGAATTTTGGGGGTTAGGGTCTGGGCAAGAGGAGATCTGATGAGGAAGGGGCCACTTCTCCCTGGAGGGGCAGGCCGAGGGAGAGATGACTGACTCCCTGCCTCTCTGCATCTCTCTCTCTCTCTCTCTCTCTCTCTCTCTCTCTCTCTCTCTCTCTCATTTAGCTATTTACCCAACTAGTGATTATTGAGCCTCTGCTGAACATCTGGCCCAATGCCAGGGCCTGGGAGGCAGCCGTGATGCATAAGGCAGGGACCCTGCCTTATAAAGCCTGGAGTCTGGGGAAGGAGGCCAGAGTGTTTGCCCAAGATAATCCCTGAGGCACTGGGAACTCTGAGCAGGGGTTTCTCACCAGCATGGGTATGGGGGTGGTTAGAGAAGGCTTCCAGGAGGAAGTGACATCAAAGATGAGTCCTGATAAATCTCTAGGTCCCTTTACTCTCCTCCTTAACTCCTCCTCTATAGCTCTGCCCCAGTCAGAAACTGAGTCCTGTCCATTCTATTTTTAAAAAATATGTATTGATTTCAGAGAAGAAGGGTTAGGGAGACAGGGATAGAAACATCACTGATGAGAGAGAGTCATCCATTGGCTGCCTCCTGCATGCCCCCCACCAGGGATCAAGCTCACAACCCAGGCATATACCATGACTAGGAATGAAGCCGTGACCTCCTCTTTCATAAGTGGATGCTCAACCACTGAGCCATACCAGCTGAGCCTGTACATTCTATTTTAGAGATATTCCTGTCCTTACTGCCCTCCCCTGGATGCACGCCTCCACCATCACTTACCCAGCTATCTGCAACTGTGTTTTAGGGCCTTGTCTTCAGCCCCTCCTCCACATCTCTAACTGAGCAACATTCCTAAAGGCGGAAGTAGTCATGCCAGCCCACTGGAGAAAACCCTACAATGGGGTTCCCCCTTTAGGTTCTGCAGCCTGAATTTGATGCCTTGCCTGGCCTTCCCTTCACCCTCTTCCCAAGCTTCCCTCATAGTCTCCCTCCCTGGGCCATCCACTTCAGTCTCTCAGGCTCTTCCCCTTGTGCCTCCAGCATTATTCCTCTGTGCAGGCTGTAGACTGTCTGGGATGCCCTTTCTCCTCTGCATTTTTCAGTCCCATCTCAGATGTCCCCCTCTGGGGCACCTCCCTCCTTGCATTTCTTTCTGAGGCACCATCTGTGAGGGGCTTTCCCCACTGAGCTCTCACAGTGCTGTGTTCATATCTCCACCAGAGAATTTTCCACACAGTTGTCCTCTCATGGATCAGTTTGCCCCAAGAACCCTGAGCACCTGGAGGGCAGCAAATTCATTTTCTTTGGGCTCCAACACAGGGCATGGCCCAGGACAGGAATGCAGACCTGTTTGTTACTGGAATGATGGAGAATCAACCACTGTGACAATGTCTTTAATAAGGCAACCTTGGAAGCTACTTCATTGGTTTTTCGAAGGTGACCAGTCTCTGAGAAACAGGAGCAAAGTGACCCCTAGAAATGCAGGAGGTAGCCAGGCTGCCTCCAAAGAATCCATAAGGCCTCTGACACCTGGTCTGGGAGTGGGCAAGCTACAACAGCCCATTAAGAGTTCCTGTCCCATAGTGGCTGCACCAGTCTGCATTCCCACCAGCAGTGCACAAGTGTTCCTTTTTCTCCACATCCTCTCCAGCACTTGTCGTTTGTTGATTTGTTGATGATAGCCATTCTGACAGGTGTGAGATGGTACCTCATTGTTGTTTTGATTTGCATCTCTCGGATGATTAGTGACTTTGAGCATGTTTTCATATATCTCTTGGCTTTCTGAATGTCCTCTTTTGAAAGGTTTCTATTTAGATCCTTTGCCCATTTTTTTGATTGGATTGTTTATCTTCTTTTTGTTAAGTTGTATGAGTTCCCTATAAATTTTGGAGATTCCTCAAAAAGCTGGAAATGGAACTCCCATTTGACCCTGTGATCCCACTTCTAGGAATATATCCCAAGAAACCAGAAACACCAATCAGAAAGGATATGTGCACCCCTATGTTCATAGCAGCACAATTCACCATAGCTAAGACCTGGAAACAGCCTAAGTGCCCATCAGTAGATGAATGGATTAGAAAACTGTGGTACATCTACACGATGGAATACTATGCTGCTGTTAAAAAGAAGGAACTCTTACCATTTGCAACAGCATGGATGGAACTGGAGAGCATTATGCTAAGTGAAATAAGCCAGTCAATGAAGGAAAAATACCACATGATCTCACTCATTCATGGATAATAAAGACCATTACAAACTTTTGAACAATAATAGATACAGAGGCAGAGCTGCCTCAAACTGATTGTCAAACTGCAGTGGGAAGGCCAGAGAGGGTTGGGGGGCAGAAGGGAGGGGAGTAAGAGATCAACCAAAGGACTTGTATGCATACATATAAGCATAACTAATGGACATAAGACACTGGGGGGTAAGGGAGGGCAGGGATTGTCAAGGGCGGGGGGTGGGGGAAGGACACATATGTAATACCCTTTGTAATACTTATTATAATATTTTTTTTACAAAAGAATAAAAAATAAATAAAAAAAGAGTTCCTGTCCCACTTTGCAGCAGGAGAATCAAGTTAGAAAAAGGAAAGCTAGAATTCTGCAAGCCCTGCCTTGCCCCTGCCCCAAGTAGGTGCAGTCAGTATGTCCATTTTATAGGTGAGGAAACAGATCCTGAAGGGTCACACAGTGAAGGACACCCACCCAGGCTACCTGGCTCCCATCCTGCACCTTTTGCTCCACAACTCACTATATTAGTGAGAACCAAGGGAAAGGGTGATATAAATACTTAGTATTTTTTAGTGAGATTATTTGTAGGCATCCAAATGCATATTACTAGGAGGAATTTGAGGGTTTGTTGCTGAGGTTCTGAAGAGAAGTCGGGGCTCAAGATATTTCCATATTACTCCGTATATGCAGACAGATGAGAGCTGATATAATGGGGTTCAATGTTGATGTCTACATGGGTTACAATATCAAAGGAATCAAGGAGAGAGGGTCCGGCAAGCTGAGCACAGACCATAGTGTGGAGGAGACAGCTGGCTGGTCATCCTTCCTGAAGGCAGCTGGGGGGACAACAGTCAGGTCTGGCCAGGTTCAGTGTTAGCTGCCAGAGGTCCAGTGGGGGTATGGGTCAGGAACACAGAGGAGAGGGGGAAACAAGCAAAGGGAGGCAGTTGATGCCATGGGAGCAGAGGAGGCGGCCAAGGTGTCGGAGCATGCCAATGGAGATGAACACTGGGAACACCAATGTTTAAAGGTCCAAAGAGAAAAAGGCAAAGGAGATTTGGAAGGTGTGTCAAAGGAGGTAGAGTGTCACAGAATCATGATGGATGGACAGGGGAGAGAAAGTGAAAATGTCCCACTGGGTCAGTGGTTCTGAATGACAGTAATAATAGGAGTATCTCTATTGGTTTTGGCACAATGGAGCTCCCTGATGACCTCAGAGAGAAAAGAAGGAGGTTGAATTAGGAGGTTAGGACCACTCTTACACCACAGATGATTATAGTCTAGGACTCTGAAGTCAGACTGCTTGGGTTCAATTCCAGGCTCTTCCCCTTGTTACCTGTGGAACTTAGGATAATTCACTCGGGCTCTCTGTGCCTCATTTTGCTCATCTGGAAAATGGACATGGATAATAACAGTGCCCCTCTCCTGGGGTCAATGTGGAGATTTAATGCATACAGAGTCATGGTCTAGCCCTCAATCAAAAGTAGTTATTAGTAATGAGATTTTGAGAATGGCCAATCCTGCAATATCAGGTTTTAAGCTCCTTGGAGACAGCTGGCATTTGGAGATGAGGTAACTGCCTCCAGTTGAGTGTGGGCGGCTTCTGGGTGGTTAATTTATGTTTCTTTCCTCTATAGGTCTTCCCCAGACTCCAAAGACAGGGAAGCCCTCAGCCCCAGAGAGCCCAAGAGAGATTTGGCTGGTGAGGCCTTTAAGGGACCCAATCCAGATTCTGAAAGGTAACTTAGTGGAGGGACATAGAGACCATGTGGCCCCCAGTCCAAGGTCCATGGTTGGAGCTGGGACTAGGACTGTCCTACTCACTGTGTTCACTGTTAATATCTGTGGGAAGAATGAAGGAAGGAATACATGAGGCTTGGAGAGGGGAAGGCCCCTCAGGAAACAAGTTGCACAGGAAGACAAACTTCAGGCCAGGCCACCCCCACTCCACACTTGGCCCAACCTCACTGTGCTTTTACTCCACTGAAAGCATCCCTGCCAATGGCCAGGGCAAGCAAGGCCGCCAGGCTGTCAGTATGGGATAGTCAGTGACCAAAGGATGTATGGGCCCCAGCAAATCATCTAGCAGGGACTTCCAGAATGACCTGTGCACAAAGGAGGCAATGATGGGAGGTGGAGGCATGGTGAGGAATGATCAGTCCAGAAGGGATGAGTACAGAGGGGATAGTCCTACTACCATCCCACTGACCAGGGGAAGCCAGTTGTGGTGATTAGTAGCTGAGAGTTGGACATATACTCAGCAGGTAGCTGGTGGCCAGTAGTGGATAAGAGCCCACCATCTTCTCAGTATGGAGGCCCATACCCTCAGCTGGGACTCAGCCATGGGAATGAGGGAAGGGGACCCAGGATGGGTGGGGGAAATTTGTCTCTGCCTTGGAATCTATGGTTTAATTATAAGTGGCTCCAAATTTCTATGCCTTGTTCTGTTAACCATTGCCAACCCCCTCCCTACATGCATTGTGCCACCCTCCTCCTGAGTTTCTTGGCTCCACTCCTCCTCCCAGCCCAAAAGGTTTGGAAGAAAGGCAGAAATACTTGCTGATATTGATTTGTTTCAAGTTGGAGCTGTGCAGGATGGCAGCCCAGGACCCAAGCTTCTGGTCCTTGAGACCCACTCTCAGGACATCTGAGTTAGATTAGATCAAAGCCCAATAAGAGTCATCAAATGCTTCTCTTTCCACAACAGGTCAAGTGCACACTCCAGGGATGGCAACGTGGGATCCAGAGCCACAGGCTCCCCACTTGAAGGCTTGGCTGGAGCAGACATCAGCTCTGGGAGAGGAGGGTGAGCTACCCAGGGGAGGCAGGTGGCCCAGAGTTGTTGATTCTCTCATGTCCCTGGTGACAGGCCAGGGTCAAGCAGCTAAAACTTCTTGAGGTCATTTTCCTACTGCATCTCCCATCTCCAACACTTCAGCCCCCACCACATCCTTTGTCCCTGGGATTTCCACTTCTGGGAATACCTATGCTTAAATATTACTCCTCCTCATCCCGTCTGCCACTGGCTCTCAAGCTCCTCCAAAGCAGGCACAAGGGCCCACTTACAACTGGAGGTCCAGCCCTGCCTGGGTGGGCACTGGGTGGATAGAATGAATGTGAAGAGAATGAGTGAAGGGACAACTGATGAATGACCAAATGATGGATAAATAGGTACCTTCTTGCTTATTGGCTAAGCTCTAAGAACAAAGTAGAAGCTGCTTTCTCCCTTCCCTACCAAAAGACCCAAAGCCTCCTTTTCCTGCCCTACTCTCATCCCCTGGCCAGCTCTGCACTGAGCTTCAATGAGAGGAAAAGCAGCTTCCTCAGTGAGACTAGCTAGGAGACAAGCATGTCCAACTGGGCCCTAAGTTGTTGGACCTGGGGAGGGTCAGGGACCACTTTCTTGGGTGATTTGGGGAGTAACAAGGTCACATCTGTTCCCAGGTAGTTCCAAATCAAGCATAAGTCACCCTAGTTGACAAGGTTAGGTATGCAGATGTTGGCACCAATCGTTCAGCTCAAAGCTATGCTGGAACCTTTATGGTTCAGGACAGATGGCCAGAGAGGATTGGCAAAGTCAGTATCTACAGAGAGCCTGACTACATGCTGCTCACCAGCACCCTGCCCTAGGGCAGTCAGGCCTTGGAAGGCATCCCAAGGGGGAGCTTCTGCCTACTGCTTTCCCCACTGCGTTCTCGGCTGCCCCTACTCCCTAAGCCCATTGGGGAACCCCTGCCTTCACTAACTTGAATAGTTTGAAACTGTTTGGACCCAGAGTCCCGGCTTCCAAATCCAGGAGCCCAAACCAACATGGGAAGGGGACAGCAGCCCCAGCCTCTGACCAAAGTGCCTCAGCAGATACCAGGAAAGACCACTAGGCTGGGACCTCAGTTCTCTGAGCTGCCACTTGTGGGGACTGTGCAAGAGCCAACACCTGCAGCCTGCATCATTGTGTGCTGGCTAGCAAGTCATGCAGATTGACTCAATTGGCTGGTGGCTATCATGGAAGATTTCCAGGCCAGCGTGATTGGGTCTGGTTCTTGGCTGCTTCATTTTTGAATGTTCATCCATATCATCCGTCTTGTTTCCACACCCTCATAAACTGAACATTTTGCTTTCTGCTTTCAGTTTCTTTAAAATGAAGCCAAACCTCAAATTACCTTTCAAAATAAGCTGGAGAATCTTCTAGATTTCTATTATTTTTAACCCAGTCTTTTACATTGTCTTACCTATATTGATTTTTAAGAAACTTGCCTTTACTGTCTTTCTAAAGAAAATATTGTTTCTCATTAGTTTACTTACTAACTTAGTGATTATGGTTGCAAGTACAACTGGCATGAACAGGTTTAGGAACAAATACCAGGAACTCTAAGTAAGTGTGCTACATAAATGAAGGGTGCAAGATTGTACAGGTGATAAGATGCCCTGTGAGCTGTGACTGCTTGGTGTACCGTGAGAGTCAGTTTGCATGAAAGACAGAGAATGTGACCAACCTGTGGGAAGGCCGGGTTAAAGAGCACCCACTCAATCTGTATCAAGTTTATGGATACAGATGGAATATAAGTGGCCACAGAGCCCCATATTAATAACAGGATCACTTTAGCACACCCTAGGGACCAGGCATTATTCTAAGTACCTGGTATCTATTAACTCATTTTCTCAGAAAATTTGTGAGGCAGACACAATTATTATCCCCATTTCATTGATGGTAAAATGGTAAAACTAAGGCCCAAAGAGGTCAGATGATATATCCAAGGTCATACAGCTGGGAGGTAACAAAGCTGTGATTTGAATTTGGGCAAGATGCCTCCAGGGATACTTAACCATTAGGCTTCACTGTCCTGGTGGCAGGCATCTGTGAGATATGAGTATTGTTCCCTGAACATCCATTTGAGCAACTCCTCAGTTCTCATCATCTGTCAGGGTCAGAAGCCACCCTCTCAGGAGAGAGTAGATATACAGACACAAAATCCTGAACCCAGACTGAGCTTGACCTCCTTCCACAGGGTGTGCTCAGCTGCTGGCTTCATGCCTCTCCTGGATGATGATGATGTGCATGGTGCCAACTCTCATGGTCGCAAACCTGGACTAGTGGTCACCAGGTAAGGGGGGGTGACTATCTGGTGACCATTCCCATTGCCAGACACAGCCTTAAGGGTTCAGCCTCAACTCCAGTGCCCCAGAATACCCTTCACACTTCTTAGCTCCATGCTACCTTCCTATCAGGTGATCACCACAGGAGATGGAAGGTTGGGAGGGTCCCTGACATTCAGCTCAACACAGGCACCAGGGACAGTGGGGGCGGGAGGACAAATGATAAGTTAGGATACCCAAACAGCCCAGCACCACTCATAAGGACTCAAGGTGAGGTAGCAGAAGGGGTGCATCAGGAGGCAGAACTTGGGAAGAGACCCTGATAGGATGTCTCAGTGAACCTCTCCTGTAGGTACTGCAGCCTGGACCAGCAAGGAGGACCAGGGGGAGGAATCCCAGGGAGCATGTGGAGTGAGGCAGCTGGGGAGGGTGCATAGCCCCAGGGGCATGAAAGTCCAATGGGAAGAGGCTCTGTCTTGCCAGGCTGTAGGCTTCTACACTGTTTCATCTACCAATCTTCCTTTTGCTGTGGGTGTGTGGAGCACTTAGCAAGGGACAATCTTTCTGGACTCCCAAGAGGTGTAGGTCAGACAAGGACATGGGAATCCAAAATCAGGAGACTTCCTCAGGGACCCCCACACTGGTCAGGGGTAGTGCTTTGTCTTGAACTCAGGTGCTAAGGCCACAGCCAGGGCTCACAGTGGCATCTGTGCCACACTAATGGCAGGACTGAAAGGCCACCCTTGACTGATAAATATAGGCATCACCTTTCCTGTGAGAAGGCAGCTGGGAAGGGAAAGGCCTAAGCCCCAGTCTCTGAGGCCTCAGTGGGCCTGTGTGCTTCCTCCCTCAGCTCCGATGCTACTTTGGCTTCTGCTGTACCAGCTAACAGGAAGAGCGACAGCCCAGCAGACCTGGAGGACATGAAGGCAAATTTTAAGGGGTAAGGCACCAGCCAACAGAGCTGAGCTTTTGTGGTGGAGAGAGATAGCTTAGGTTTGCATTAGCCTTTGGATGGAAAATGAGGCTAGTGAGGTCTATGAGCTGGCCCAAGGCACATAGCAAAGGCTGAAGCCCCAGCTGAAACCCTCTGGCCTCTGCCTCTGGGTCTATGGAGCCTTCTGCTACACTGAGTTGCTTTTAGCCAGGAAGTCCTCCATAATCAGAAAGTCACCCACTCTTTCAGTCAGCAACCACTTGGACAACAATTGCCCTGCGCTGGAGGCTGAAGCACAGAGACAAATCAGACATGGCTGATGGAGGGCAAAGCCTGGTCCAGACAGGAATATCTCATGCTGGAGCAGGGGAAGGGGAGCAGGCATGGTGGCTTCATGGGGAAAGTGGCCTCTGAGCTGAATCTTGAAAGATGAATAGGAGTCCTCTGAGTCAAGGGAACAGTGTATACAAAGGACTCCAATCAACCTGGTGTTTCCTGGACACTGTATGTAGCTGAGTGTGACTGGCGCTGAGAGTCCTTGAAGGGGGAATGGTGAAACAGGAGATTTTTTGAGGTAGGCCTGGGATGATTTGCCTTCAACACCAGATACTGTTAAAGATTGCATCAGTTACTTAACTTTCGGGCGCACACTTGGTACACAGCCCACTGCTCACAGTGTCACGTACAGCCCTCCCCACAATCCTGTGAGATTTCCCCCTAATTATAATGAAGAACAAAGGCTTAGAACCCAGGTCTCTGTGCCTCCTTGGAAGGACAGTGCTCTCAAAGAATTAGCCAGGGTGCTGAGATAGAGTGATAGCAATGAGGAGGGCTACTGCTTAGATGGGTAGAGAGATGGAGGTAACTCAGGGGAGCTCCTCTCAGGAGGAGAAGGAACTAACTCTAGGAAGAGAAAGGAGAAAAAAGCTGCATATAGAAAACCACAAACCTAAAAACCCTGTAGTGGGAACGTGCTCAGCATGTTCCAAAGCATAGAGTGGCTGGAGCCTGGCCAGTGAGGGGGTCCATAGATGGCGCAGGGCCTTGGTAAGCCATGATAAAGAGGTTGGATCTTATTTCAAGATTAAGCCAAAGAGGAACATGGTCTAATTTAGGTGTTTAAAAAGGTGGATGCATTTTTTGTACTTTCATGCCACATTGCAGTTACTTCTTTACTTTTGTGACCTCCAGTGAAACTGGGATGCTGGGGGGTGGGGTAGGCAAGGAATCTCTAAAGTATGAGGCCTTATTATGTGACTTTTTCTGTTGCAAATTGCACTGACAATTAATAGGGTGAAAACAATAACTGACACCTATAGTGAATGTGCTTTGTTAGTTGCTTTACAAACTTCCCAGCAACTCTGTGAAATGATAAGATGGGGAAACAGAAGCATAGAAAGTTTGTGATTTGTCCAAGGGCTTGCAAGTGGCAGAGCTGAGTCCCAATGCAAGAGTCTCTAAGAAAATCCTCAGGGGGCGGGGAAATTTAAAAATCTGGTTTTTAAAATATTTCCTTTGGAGTCTATTCTCAAGGCCCAGAACCAGTAACTCTTAGCTGGTTAACGTGTAAACCATTCTGTATACATGATCTCACCTACTATTTCCAAAACATGGGTAAGAATCTGGCTTCTGATGTAGTGTAACAGTGGAAGAAACAGAGAGCTCCTGTGAGGAGCAGAGCTAGGAACAGAGCTCAGATATGGCTAACTCTAAAGCCCAGTCTGAGAACTACTTTCTTCTGATGTGTAAAACTTTGCAAAATCAATACAAACTTTCTTGAGTACAGTGTTTCACAATTCTGACTGCACTTGAAAATCACTCAGGCAGTGTTTTATATTTATTTATTTATTTATTTATCCTCACCTGAGGATATTTTTCCATTGATTTTTAGAGAGAGAGGAAGAGAGAGGGAAAGATAGAGAGAAATATCAATGTGAGACAAACAAATGGATTGGTTGCCTCCTGCACAAGCCCTGACCAGGGCCCAGGCCAGGAAGGAGCCTGCAACTGAGGTACATGCCCTTGACCAGAATCAAACCCGGAACCCTTTCGTCTGCAGGCTGACGCTCTATCCACTAGGGCTCACTCAGGAAGTGTTTTTAAAAATAAAAAATAGCCGAACCGGTTTGGCTCAGTGGATAGAGCGTCGGCCTGCGGACTGAAAGGTCCCAGGTTCGATTCTGGTCAAGGGCATGTACTTGGGTTGGTGGGGCACATCTCCCACTGGGAGATGTGCAGGAGGCAGCTGATCGATGTTTTCTCTCTCATCGATGTTTCTAACTCTCTATCTCTCTCCCTTCCTCTCTGTAAAAAATCAATAAAATATATTTAAAAAAAAATAAAAAAATAAAAAAATAAAGCTTCCTGAGCTCTACACAGAGATTAGATTTTAATTGTTCTGGGGTGGGACTCCATCATCAATCTTTTTAAAAGCTTCCAGTTTTTTCGCATGTCCAGTCTAGGTGAGAACCATTGTTGTAGGGCAATGGTTGTGAACCAGGGGCATCTCCCCATACCTCCCTACCCCCTAGGGGTCACTTGGCAGCGTCTGCAGATTCTGTCGATTCTCACAGCTGGCAAGAGGGTGATACTGGCAAATAGTGGGTGGAGACCAGGGATGCTGTCCAAAGTCCTACAATGCACAGGGCAGCCCACACACAGTTATCCAATACAAAAAGTCGATAGTGGTGAAGCTGACAACAGTTTTAGAGCTTTCACGATCTCTATGTGGGGCCAGGAGATTCTGTATTGGGAAGAAAAAAGGGTGGACACAGAGAGAAGCTAACAGTCTTCCAAGGGTCTAGGCAGGGAGTGCAGAAGATGTGCGCATGGGTGTGCTTTTGCATTTTGCATTAGGCATGCATGAGACCTTCCTATGTGAGCCTGCACCTGTGCCTGCGCCACACAACCCCCCTTCCCCCCGCCCCCCTTCGGCTGTTTGTGCCGGTTCGTCTCATTGAAAGAAGTTAAGGAGTACTCAATAGGGTGAAAGGTCCTTCTGGAGTCAATTTGGAGGAATAGTTCTTACTTCTCCTAGGAAGTGAAGTCATCTACGGGGGAAGTAGCAGGGTCACCTCCTTTGGGATGTTGATGAGGGTAACTAGCGTGGCTTTCATTTGAGGGGGGGAGGATGTTTCTTCTTGAGGGGCCTCTGCCACGGAAAGTCTTTTATTTAGATAGGGTT